GGGGCCCTCGAACCCCTCATATATTGTATTGTTTCTGTCTTGTCTCATGTTCTGTCCCCCTTGCTACTGTACAGCGCTGAGCAAACCCTTTGGCGCTATATAAATACTGTATAATATTAATTTCTGGTGACAATGATGATAATTGGAGACCGTAAATCTCCCTGACAAGGACAGATGGAAATACAAACCTCAATAGACAGAAGATGGCCAGCACTACTGATTGCAGATGAGGATTTACTGAATATCTATACTCACTGGCCGCTTTATTAGGTACACCTGTTTGGTAACACAAATTGCTAATCTGCCAATCACATGGCAGAAACTCCATGCATTTAGGCATCTAGACGTGGTGAAGAAGACTTGCTGAAGTTCAATCCGAGCATCAGAATGGGAAAGAAAGGGGATTTAAGTGACTTTGAACTTGGCATGGTTGTTGAGACTGAGTATTAAAAAAAAAAAAAAAAAAAAATTGCCGATTTGCTGGGATTTTCACACACAGCCAGCTCTAGAGTTTACAGAGAATGGTCTGGAAAAGAGAAAATCTCCAGTGAGCAGTTTTGTGCACAAAAAATGCCTTGTTGATGTCAGGAGAATGGGCAGACTGATGCAACTTTCAGATGGTAGGGTCAGAATTTGGTGTAAACAACATGAAAGCATGGATCCATCCTGCCTTGTATCAATGGTTCAGGCTGGTGGTGGTGTCATGGTGTGGGGGAGATTTTCTTGGCACTAGCAAGGTGTACCTAATAAAGTGACCGGTGAGTGTGTTTGAACCCCTTAAATTCACCAATGTTTTGGGACACAAGGTCCCCTTTATCGAGGTCTGTTTCTGCTTGGAAAAAGGGGTCCGGAGTGTCCACAAAATGTTGGTGGATTTCTTTCAGATTTGCATAGATCTTCAGCAAATACTATTTTGCAATGTGGAGTGCTGTCCATATATAACATCACTATAGGCCATGCTTCACCATGGGAGGTGTATATGGTACAGGTGTGGGACAAGCGGATGGCAAAACCGTAAAGTGGTTCTAACCCCCACCACTCTATCCAAATGTAGAAAAAACATGCATTTAGTTCTTTTAAAAAAAAAAAAAAAAAAAAAAAAAAATTTTGCTTTTAATGGCTATTGCCCTGTTCACATCTGCATGACTTGGCTGTGTTTTGGGTGTGATGTGTGAAAGTCCTGCTTGCTGTTAATTTTTAATATTCAAAGCAAACTTGGCCATCCCTGTCTCCATGCTGATGAGAAATGACTTTGAAAAAACACCCCCTAGCATATCTAGTTGTGGCCATCTTGGGTAAGGGCAGATGATTCATGTAGCATTTGCTTCTTGGAATCCATCTGCCCTTGGCTTAAGCATGCACGGAGGGTGTGGTTAGCTAAAAAGCCCCTGCTCCAGATAAAAGAAGATAAAATGCCCATAAGGACTCCTGGGATGTATGACCTCATTTTAGCCTAGGCCAGAAAGCAACTGAAGTAATGTAAAAAAGAAAAACAAAAATTAAAACACGTAAAGTTCCTTCCCATCTATTTATGAATACTAGCCGCTTAAGGATTAAAATGGTTAATGTTTATTTGAGAGCGTTTAATTTCACTTTAGGATGGCCAGAGGGCTGAATAGAAAAAAAAAAAATCTACCTGATTTCCCCAAACCAGGCTATACAGTGTGGATAGATGAATCTCCCTCTGCGGTTATTGTATTCTGGCACCAGAGGCTCAGAATACCCAAACAGCCGCTGCATCTGATTGGAAGCAGCCACTGTTTTGCTAACAAATTTCCATTCAGCTGCTTCTCTGTTTATTTTATGGATGTTTATTGGGAGGGTTGCAACCGATCCACCCATAGTGATTTTCAGCCAGTTCCTTTTCTGCTGATGATGAAAATCATATGTACATGGCCAGAGATTCACATAAGTGATAATGCATGTAAAACGCTCCTACAGTGTACTGCACCCACGATGTGCCGAAGTGTGTGGGGCGCTAAAGTGATTAACCTTCACCTTGTAAAACAACCTATTCAGTGTAAAATAGAAATGAAAGGCAAAACTTTTTTATGTAGATATAAACAAATATCGGGAAACTACACTAAATGAGGTCTGTAGAAGAGACAAAAAAAAATTACACTGCCACTGAATAGAATTCTGTATGGTGCGATTTGAGCAGGGGTGTATTTAAGTTTTGTGCTGCCCTAGGAAACACAAAACATTGGCTCCCCCCCCCAAGGAGAGACCCTGACACCAACCAACACCTCCCTCCCCTACGAAGAGAGCCTGACTTTGACCAACACCCCAGCCCCCTATACACTGGCAACCTCCCCCCACCCGGCAAGAGTTAAGACACTTACCTTCACAGCTCTGGACATCCCTGGGAACAAGTCGGGCTCTGCATACATCATCAAGCAGCCCGCACCTCTCTCAGATCCCACCTGGTCCCTGTGCTGAGTGTCCCTTCTTCCATCCTTTCTTTCAGGGGGCAGCGCCGCCTACCTGAATAATGCTGCTGCCCCCCTGAAAAAAATGCTGCCCTAGGCAAATGCCTTGTTTGCCTTGTGGTAAATACACCCCTGGATTTGAGCCAATCATTTTGTACGGTTCTAATCGCACCGCACCTGTACCAAAAAGGTGCAGGACCATTTTTTTTTTGTCCGCACTAGAATCAAATTGTATGGGTGTGAACACCCATGCGATCCAATTCTGCACATCGCACCATGTTTTGCAGACCGATTTTTTGGGGGGGTTAACTTAACCTCTTCATGCCAGCCACACACAAATGTGCGGCCTCCCAGCGTCTGGGCCTAGACACTGAGCAGCCACACATTTATGTGCAATTTAAAAAAAAAAAAAAACGTGCTGAGAGCGCTCCCAGCTCACATGTCTGGTACTCACAGAAAGGTCCCGATTTCCTTTTTCGATTGGGACCTTACTCGATTATGTGACAGCGAATCATGCAGTCACATGACCCTAAAGCCCCGCCTCCCGGCTTCTGAAACCCTTAAAGGGCTGGGAGGCGCCGGCGCCAAGGGGTTAACATACACACCTGCAGTGGTTTGCATAAACGGTGTAATTGTGGTGTGGAATTTGCACTGAAAACGCTGCAAACTCCGCACCGCATCACTGTGAACCCGGGCTGAATCAGAACATAAATGGACTTTGTGATAAAGAGCAGTCCTGTCCAATTAAAGTGGTCTTAAACCCAAAATAAAAATATATTCTTGCAGTTTAACCGATTCTTAAATGTCTTTGCTCCTCCAGTTCTCTGTTTGGCGTTTTTTTTTTTTTTTTTTTGTCAATTGGTGATCCTGCAAATCTGTTTTTCAGGTACAGGAATGAGACCAGACTGGCAGGGGTGCTTACAATGATCAGTTTTATGTATAACTTTTATCCCAAAAGAAGAAAAACTGTTTGCTGTAACTGCTTATAAAATGTTTGGAGTTCAGATTCCATTTGTTTCTTAATCTGCTAGTACGTCTAAGGCCCCTTTCACACTGAAGGGCCAATCAGGTCCGCCTGTCCGTTTTTTCAGGTGGACCAGATTGGACCATCCATAGCTCTCTATGGAGCAGTGGATGTCAGCGGACACCTGCTGACACCCACCGCCATCCGATCCTGTACACTAAAAACAGAGCGATGGGCATGTGTTCCCCATGCGTCTGGCAGATCGGATTACAGGCAGTTCATTTCCATCCGACCGGCCCATAGAAAACAGCAGGCTGTGTCCGCTCTGCATCAGCGGAGCAGACACAGACCTGTTATCTGCGTGATCACTGGGTGTGGGGGGGGGGGGGGTAGTGGAGAGAGAACCTGCTGAGCAAGCGAATCCACTGACTGGTCGCCTCATCTGAAAGTAGCCTAAACCTCCCTTCACCCCAGACTGACCATACTGCTGTCCAAAGGTGCCCCCTGTGCTCCTTCATCCAGAGTAGATGCACTCTAAGTCCTCATGCACACTTGATGTTTTTACAGCGGCCGTTTTTGGCTTTTGATATTTTTTTCCACCGCTAATAACCCCCCCCAGCATGTTATCCTTTGTGTCCATGCACACAGGTGCGGACTGACAAGTCATGGGGATCATGGGGCCCCTGTGTCCTTGCCCAAACTCAAAAAAGCCTATGAAAAGGTACCAGGGGCATCTCATGGGGCCCCCTACTGACCCTGGGCCCTCAGGCAGTGCCTGAGTTTCCAAATGGTCGGTCCGCCCCTGCATGCACACAGACTGTAATCAGCGTTTTTTGGCTCCTGGACTAGTGGGTTTCTAGAGGAGTTTTTTAGCTGTAGAAACGCTCAAACGCTGAAAAGCACGGTAAACCCGCGTTTTTGGATTTTTTTGGGTTAAAATAAAAAGCAAATGTGGGAAAACGCGGCTAAGCGCTAATGCAAAAGCGCTAAAAAAAGCTGAAAACTCAGTTTTTTAACGTGGCTTTACACAGCGATTGTTACCAGCATTCTCAAAATGTCCCGTGTGCATGAGGGCTAATACAGGAGGTGTTACTGGCCAGAAAGCCTAAAAGAAAACTAATGCAGCCACCGCCACATCTCATGATTGGTAAGCGGCAACATATTACGTTTTTGTTTGGAGTTTAATACACTTTTTAATTGTCAGGCTTCTCTTTGTGGTACAACTCTTAATGACCATGACATCTCTAATATCTTTGAGTCTGTTACTTTCTTGCTTCTGAATTTTTTATTTTGGGAAATGAGCATGCTTCCTCTGAATATATGAATTGTCATGTGTACCAGCGAAGTAAAACCAAAAGAGCGAATATAGGGGACAATGTGCACAAGGATTCCCTAAGCTGCACCAGAAGGAATCGGTGTGAATCTAGTCCATGATGGGGATTTGGGATACCATGCAGCCAGCATGCTTTTTTTTTTTTTTTTTTTTTTTTTTTCTTTTTTTTCTTTTTTTTTTTTTTTTTTTTTGTACTGTAGCGGCCAGCCTGTAAAGATCGTACTGGAATAAGCAATGTGTTATCATTTTGCTCACAGTAATGTTTTCTCTCTAGCTCCAAGGAAGTCCGGGTGCTGCTCTGGATGAAGATTCGTGTTCATCAGCTCCTCTATCCCCAGGGTCCTCATCGTCTCCTAACTCCATGCCATCCTCTGGTCTTACTCAAGGAAAAGTATCTGCAGCAGCTGTGGCATGGAGATTGTAGATAAATACCTGCTCAAGGTAAGCCATGAGAACTTCCAGTAGTAAACTCTAGATTTATGAAGGTCATTTCACTGTTGAGGGTCTCCTGATGCAGCATGTTGGTTAGGTGGACCCTATGGGGCAGAGTCTTTTTAGTTGTAGATGCATTGGAATATTCTGTATGATGTTGTTATTATTATTATTATACAGGATTTATATGGTGCCAACAGTTTGCTTTACAATATAATGGGAGACAATACAGTAACAATACAGTTCAATACAAGAGGGATTTGAGGGCCCTGATCCTGGGAGCTCACAATCTAGGAGACCTTATGGAGTGGGTCATGTTGGAGGGTCATGTTGATGAAGGGGTCCTGCGTGGCTCTGAAACATGGCATTCTCTTTTCTGTGATGTAATCATTCTTCAATAAAAAAAGATTGGACTCAGTCTGAAGATCCGTGGTGTGCTGGCAAATATCTTCTCATATATGATCCAGTTTCCAGCTGGTGGTTGCTGCAGCACCCAATATTTCAGAGCCTTCTCCAGGAACCTACAATGGGAATATTGATGGTTATTTTTGAAGGCCAGTCTGCCCACTTTTTTGTATCCAGTATCTATATATTTTTAAGTGGGGTTGACCCTTCGGGGTTTACAGTATTTCCTAAAGCTGGAGATTGCAAAGTCAGGCGCACTTCTGCATAAAAACCAATCGGCTTCCAGGATTTATTACCAAAGCTTAGTTGAACAAGCTGAGGTTAGAAGCCGATTGGTTTCTATGCAGAAGTGAGCCGGAGTTTGCACTCTCCGGCTTTAGTAAATAAACCCTTTATGTCTTTGTCTCAACAGACTTTTTATAATTGAGCAGAAAATTGACTTTGCCAAGAAGTCTATACTGGATATTGACAAAATTTCTTTTACATTTGCAAATTTTCTGAAAACCATTGTGGGCCCTTTTCATGAACCCTATATAGTGCCTTGTCTTTTTGTGTATTTGGTATAACATCCCAACTGCATACAAAATGGTGACTTCAGCTTTGCTGATGTAGTGATCAGATGGATGATACTGTCGGCTCTGAACAATAAGCAGCCTTTCACCAGCACACAAGGCATTCCTTAATCCGACTAAGCCTGGGTTCACACGGATGCACTGCGGAATTTGCAGCGAATTCCGCATCACAATCGCACCCCGTTCATGGGAACCGCTGTGTGTGTGTGTGTGAACGTTCACACTCCAAAATCGTTCCACAAAACAAGGTGCGATGTGCAGAATTGAATTGCATGGGTGTGAATACCCATGCTATCCGATTCTAGAGCAGACCAAAAAAGGTCCTGCACCTATTTGGTGCGAATGTGGTGCAATTTGAGCCATACAAAATGTATGGCTCAAATCGCACCGCACAGAATTCACATGTGATTTGCACAGGAATGCGGTGCGGTTCCTGCGCGAATCACATGCATTGTGCCGCACCGCACAAGTGTGAACCCAGGCTTAATTGCAATGTCCGTTAGGACCAACGTTCATATTATACCGCTTCTGCCTGACAAGACCCTGTGTGGCCCTTAAATGTTAATAGTCGCTTCCAATGGTGACTTTACAATAAAGCAAGATTAACGAATGTTTTGGTAATGCATGTTAACACATGTTGGACTATCTTTTGCACAGTGGCCTCAAAATAGCCATAGCAGCCCATGTGGCTGCAATAGGGCATCAGGTAGGAAGAGGGGGTGCCCGTTAGAGAGACTGTCAGGGGGAAATGACATTCCCAGGATGGAAGGGCTGAAAAATGTGCCTCAGATGGCCTCAAACTGCATGTGGTTGCCATGGGCAACATGGTCTCCGCTTTTTTTTTTTTTTTTTTTCTTCAATAAACTGGATTATTTATATAAAAAAAAGGTTTCATAAAATGTCAAATGTAGCCTACTCCCTTAGGAGCTGCTGAGTTTTGGGTCCCCTATAGACGTGGACAGCCAGGCAACACATTTTTCTTGCACACTGGAGACAGTACAGTCCTTGAGCTTGCTGTGTTTTTTTTTTTTTTTTTTTTTTAATTGGGTGTATTGAATTTGGGGTTGAGGGATGAATAGGATGCCCAAAGGAACTGCAAGTGAGGACAAACGCCTTAGCATCTATGTACATGTGTTTTTGGGAGAGCCCTCTAGGTGTATCGCCTCAGACCCCAGATTAATTCTCCTTCACCCAGCTGCCTGAGGGAATCCCTGGGCAAGGGGAGTCAGAGGCTGCCACGTAATAATTAACAGTCCGGGTGAGAAGCTAGGCAGTTTCCCACCAGAATGCCCTCTTCCCTTATCTGGCCTGGGTGGGGGTTGTAGGATATTACTCACCCAGTCCTCTCCTGTAAGTTGGTGGGTTGGTGGCTGTCTTCAGGTCTTACACTGAGCTGGCTCCTTCCCTGCTTCCCAGGCTGTCCTCCAGCAACTCTGCCTGTAGGTAGGCTCCCTCCTGCATCCCAGCCTCACTCCTTCCCCCTGAACTCTCCCACTGCTGCGCAGGCTCAGTCACACTTAAGGGCTGCCCTGGCCCCATGCCAAGCGTCCTGCCTGCGGTTTGGCCAGAGTCCCTTAAGTGTGCAGATCAGCCCGCCCTCACCAGTCTACTGCCTTCTAGAAACTTCTCAAGCTTCTAGAGCAGGGGGATGTATCGGGGAACTGACCTGCAGAGCCCTCAGCCCTGACCTAATGTGACCTGGCTGACTCACACCCAGGCTGGCTGCTGCTCAGCATGACTTTCTTTCTTAAAAAAGAAAAAAAAAAATCTAGCTAACTAGTGGGGTGCTACACAGTTTCAGAATGAATGTTATGGAAATGAAAGTGAACAGTTTTCAAACCACTGGTGACTCAAGTTTTCAGGTTTTGGGAAGAGTGAACAGTAACTCATAAATAAATATGGAGGAGGTATAATTAAAAGTCCTTTGGCTGGAGGTGGGGAATATGGTTTGCAGTCGGTCTCTGTCATAAACATGTACTCTGGGGCTGACCTGGAAGCTGTGAAAGGGACTGTGAGTTACCCAGGTTAGTCTTTTTTTAAAGTGTTTTCTTGGGGCTGGTGGCTTTGGAGGAAAGACTGGTGATACCTGGGGCTTCTGCGACACTGCTTGGGGTGTAAGAATGTACTTGGCAGTGCCAAAACTCCAAAGGGTTGAGCAATCCAGGTTTTGTGGCTCTTCTGTTCAGTTTTGACCATTGAAAACGAGGTTACTCATGCTTAAGTTACTTCTGAAAGTCTTTCAATGAATCCTTTTGTGAATTGTAAGCTCGAAAGAGCAGGGCCCTCGAACCCCTCGTATACTATTTTTGTTACTGTATTGTCTCATGTACTGTCCCCCACTATATTGTACAGCGCTGAGCAAACTTTTTGGCACTATATAAATACTGTATAATAATAATTATAAACAACAACTACAATGATTGGGTGAATGATGGCAATACGTACCAAACTGCTCTGCTGTCACTGCCTTTCAATTTGTAATGGAACATGGATTAAAGAGATGCTAAGGGCATTGTGACAATAGCTGTGCATAAAATCCATATACATCCTTTCAGGATTCAACATTTGTTGTTTAGAAGGCCAAGCCAAATGCTATCCTGTCTGTTTTTTTGGAGTTCCTTGACTGCGCAACAACATTTTATTTTGATTTTAACTTTTTTACTGTAAAGTATTGGCACTACTGAGCATCTACTGCTTCTCTAGATGTTTTCTGGAACAGATGTGATACTAAACACCGTTTTTAATTATACATTGTCCCTTCTATTTCTGTATATGGATGATAACAATGTGATTATTTTTAATAAACACCTAAGTATCTATTTTTTTTTTTTTTTTTTTTTTTTCCCTAATCGATATATATCTGTCACATGACCAAGCGCTTTCCCAGCCTTTCTGCAGGGAACCATAAGCAGTAGGAGCATCTAATCCTCTGCTGTTGGTCGCATGTGCAAAACTACAGAAAATTGCAATATGTAAAATAAATCAAACTGTTTTAAATTGTCATATAACTATATACAATTTTGAAATAAAATTTTTATTTTTTGGCAATAACATGGTGTGGGCAGATTTCTGCCAGTCAAAGGCTGTCACGCCTCTCCAGCCTGTGTCTTAGAATAAGAGGGAGATGAAGCCTCCATCAATCAAGATGGAGGCTTAATCTCCCTTGTATTTCCCTTGTATGCTTCATCTACCATTTTTATTTAGATGGTTAGTGGGCATGGAGGAGGGAAGAAGCGGGCTGTCGTTTACCACTGTGTATATGCTCACATGTGTGAAACTTGGTCACATGGGCTGCTCAGATGAGATCAAGGAGGAAATGCTTGGGTTAGAAATCCTGAAAACTGAGCATGTGCAGTAGCTGTGAACACTGCTTTGCAAAATCCCCAACTGCAGTGGAAACATGGACAGGAGGGGGAGATGGAGAACAGCAGGATCAACTAGGTTTTTAGAATACAGAAAACTGATCCCAGAGTTCCGTAGTATGAACAGCATGTCCTACATTTTATTGAAAATTATGTAGGTTTAGTGACGCTTTAATACTCCATAGTCTGTGTTTTTTAATGTCCTCTCCTTTTGTACTGAATGCTACTTTGAAAGTTACACACGTTGGGCTGATTTTCTGTTACCACTTGTAAAGTTTTGGAGGGCTTGGGTTTTTACACCCTAAAGAGGTTCCTGCTTCATGTATTTGATTGACCTACCAAAAGCTGTTTTGAAGAGATGAAGGATTACTAAATGTGTCCCATTTGGTTTCCCTTGGGCTAATTTTGACCTAAAAAAGGATGTTCATCTGTGCAAATTGATACTAAATTGGTCTTTCATGCTGCTTGCCCTGATATTGAGCAGCTACTCATTTGTTCATAATTGGGTGTTACTATGTCTGTCATCTTCTGGGCCGCCAGCCTTCTCCACAAATGTTGGTTTTGCATATTAACCCTTCTGGGTTTAAGCCATTGAAAGATGCAGAATCCCAACCCTTCTGAAGAACCCCTCCTTAACTGGGACAGGCATTTACTATTTTGTTAATGTATA